TACCATAGACCACATCTACACGATTACAAGACTCGTTGAAGTTTCACGAGAGTACAAGCAACCACTCTGTCTCACTTTCATCGATCTGAAAAAAGCCTTTTATTCAGTGGAAACAGAAGCGGTTATAGAGGCTCTGGCTAACCAGGGCGTCCCTACTCGGTACATAATGATCTTTCGTGAGCTTTACAAAGATTTCACGACCAAAATGTCTTCATTCTACAACAATATCACCATTGACGTAAGAAGAGGGGTTCGAAAAGACGATACAATTTCGCTAAAACTATTCACTGCCACCCTACAAAACTTCATGCGAACACTAGAACGGGACGATATGGGAGTGAAGTTGACGGTCGACATTTAAACCATCTTCGCTTTGCTGACGATATCCTTCTCGTAACATCAAACATCAGCCAAGCGGAACGAATGGTGACCGATTTCAACAACTAAATCTAACGAAAACCATGTTCATGAGGAACGCATGGGTTCTGAATGCCCCGTTTACGTTTACGCTCAACGGAACGACAGTCTGCGAATGCTGCAGTTACGTCTATCTAGGTCGTGGAATCAACATGTGAACGACCTAGCTCCAGAGTTGAGCAGGAGGAAAACGACCGGCTTGGGGAACGTTTAAGAGCATAGAAGATGTAGTGAAGAGGACTAAGAACATTCGACTCCGTGCCTACCTTTTCGACTCGACGATTATCCCTGCCCTAACGTATGCAGCTGAAACCTGGTCGCTACGTAAGCAGAATGAAAGACGTTATTGAACGCGCAGTGGAAAGGTCGATACTAGGACTATCCTATATCTCGCAAATGAGAGAAATGATCCGAAGTTCTGACCTACGTCAACGATCGAGAATCAGAGACGCTGTTCTGCCCGCCAGGATATCGAAAATAAGGTGGACCGGACAAGTGATGCGCGTCAACGACAACCGATGGACGAGAGCCGTTACCTGCTGGATTCCTCGGGACATCAAGCACTCTACAGGAAGAGCACCGATCCGTTGGTCCGTATTCTTCACGTAAGCTATTGAAAAATATATGATGCTCAGCGAATTCCTAGAGGGAGGAGGACCCACTGCGCTACTCTTGCACGCGATAGGGAAAATGGAAGTGTTGCTGGTACCCGCTCGAGTCACTCGACAATCAACGGGTCGACTGGTGATACAGGTGAATTTTTTCGAAAGGACATCAAAACTAAGCCCGATGCGGGGCTCAAACCCGCGACAGCCAGATTAAGAGTCTGGTGCTCTACCGACTGAGCTAACCCAGCTGACGGTAACTGAGTTGAAGGGCTCAGTAGTTGTCTTTGTTATATGCTACTAATTCAGTGTAATAACAAACTGAAATATTGGCATATTGAAATTTGAGCTGTGGTCTTAAGAAAATACTCGAAACGAAAGATATGATATATTGAATATACCAGCCAAAAGCAATCGAGTGTGCAACACCTTACAGAGAGTCATCGACGACGTACGCTTTACACTCTATGTCAAGTGAAACATTCACCTAACACAGAGATGCTGTGCACTCGATTGCTTATTGGCTGGTACTATGATGAAAGGATATATTGAAATTTGAGCGTGGTCTAAACAAAGCACTCGAGATAAAAGTATACTAACTATTTCGAAAGGACGTTAGAAACTAAGCCCGATGCGGGGCCCGAACGCGCGACAGCAAGATTAAGAGTGTGGTGCTCTTCCGACTGAAAATGTTGCGACATCTTTCGAGATATGAAAACGGCAAATGTCGTTTTTTTTTCTTTCGACTATAAACACTGGATTTTCGACACTTATGAAGCTTGTAGGGTTCCTCGGAACATTCGAAAATCATAGAAGAGATCTGCTTCATCCGTCTAAAGACAGAATTACATTACTGTGTTATATTTCATTAAGTTTCATTTGTCCATCAAATTGTCGGAATTGGCGAGTTTTTTTTTACATACGTTGAATATATTCCGATATCTTTTGTGACTGACTGTTTCATACGATATCGATGTCCCATCATAATAGCAGAAAATATAAAACATCGGTTTTACTAGTCAAAGTATAATTTTACATCTCATACAAAGAGATAATAGTTTCAGAAAATTTTAGTATTCCTACTGCTTTCTTCGCAGTTTTGTAATAGTTCATATACACCTAAGCAAGTTGGGTGATGAGCAAGAATACTGCCTCATTTGAGAGTCGAACCAGGGTTCTATCCACATAGAAGGGGCGTGCTACCACTACACCACCGACGCACATTTGCGCCACCACTCATCCTTCCTCATCCCCGTCATGGATGAAACGTGGATTCAACTCCCGTCTGAGGCCGTATTTCTGTTTACCACTGAATTCGGTTAGATATAATTGCTATATTTTATAACAACCAGCAACTTTGTTAACAGTAGGGCTCACAAAGGTTATAACTAGAGAAACCTGTGAAAGAGACTATGGTTCGTCACTCGATATAAAGGTAAGAGCTTTTTCATCATGTAATTCTTATTTTATGTGCATTTATAGTTTGAAACAAAAAAAATTGTACGTCACCAGCGAGTAGCTCCGAATTCCGATAGCCGTGGTTTCATTCAAGAGAGCTAACTGTGAGCTTAAAAATGTATGCTTATGCCTGAAAATCTTTTACTTTTATTCATCACCTAGTTGGTCGTATAAGTTACATGTTACTGTAGCGAATGTAGTGCGCTGCAAGAAACACGTGGTCGTTAATTCGATTCGTCCATACTCACCAGACCTCTCATGACTTCAGAGTTGGCGAATACGGGCTATAATCGTTTGAGTGTATAAAAACATTGACCTGATATCTCGCTAGGGTACCACAACTCATTTCACAAGCCGCGTATTCATTCATTCACCTCTAACAATGTTTAATGAGGTCGAATTATGCATGGTGCCTCGCAGATTGAACAATACTGAAAGTCTCATCCTTTATAGATTGAATAAATTGTAAGTTTTGCAAGTTATAGGTTAAGTAGTGAATAGGATAAAAAGATAATTTGATGACTGTTTCGAAAGACAAACTGTACTGTAGCACATTGATGGACGGACGCTAACATCAATTCACTTTAAAGAGCCCTCTGATAATTATTTGTCTCATCATGGCGAACGAGGGCGAGTGTAGCGCAGTGGTTAGAGGACCCGGCTATACACATGTGGTGCTTGTTCCAGCCTCATGCTCTCGGTTGATTCTGCAATTTCTCTGCGGTCAGCAAATTTGTGCCAGACTTGTGTGGGAAGGATTACAGCACTAACTGGGTACTACGACCGCGGCAGCAATTCTTGGTATAGGCCAGATATGAACTCAGTCAGCCGTACTGGAGATTGATGAAAGCCGAGAACTTTATGTCATATCCCAGTGTCTAATTACGTTATATTTGTTTCTCATCACTGGTAACAATCTTCATGGTGCGTACTCTCTTCAGAACCTATAGTTTCTCGGCACAAACAATTTAGACTTGTTTAGGAGACGTTTCGTTTTCAAAGTATCAAACTAAAGCGAAGCTTTTGGTAAATCACACCTAATATGTAATCTATAGTTGACATGCCAGTGATAGAATACGGCAAAATCCAGTGAAATCGTTCATAAACCTTTGACCCGTTTTGGTACATGCTAACTGCTGTTTCAACAACGTTAGCTCGCAGAATGTAGATCGTGGCTACAGTGCAGTATGACTTTAATCCAAGAAAATTCACTCATACAGTCTAGTTGCTGAGGGTCTCGATACACTGTAGCGAGCTTGTTACGCGTGGTTCCGAATTAACACATTCAAGACGCCTGGCTTTTATGGACCTTCCACTTGTAATGGGACCTAATTTCCACCTGATACAGTTGCTGTGGTTTTCAGAAATACCGTTTATCATTATTAACTGCTGGACTTAAGCTTGCGTATAAAGCAGGATTGTAGAGGACACTGTTTTGTCGTTGTATGGATATGAATGGTAGATGTGGTACTATTTATTTTATATTCTTATTTCCTATCATATTAGAACATAATGTCAGCATTTAAAAGTGTTTTGCAGTTCATAATGTGTCTAATACACTATTTTTTACACCGACAGTTCCATCCAATAGCTATGTTTTATTCGAACGAGGTTCATCTGGCTACCCTTGGTTCAGGGACCGCATCGAGCTAATGTCATTTTACTGCTGCCATTTTGCCATGTATACGATATTAAAACATTAATCTAGCGACAAAGGCATCCATTTTGGTCTTGACGAGAAAATTTCGTTCGCCAAAACAAAACATTCGGATAAAAATGAGCTCTGTAGAGTTTGTTATAGCTACTTGATGTACAGCGAATGATTGCATAGAATGCACATTGTAGCTAATCTGCCACGGATAGTGTTCAGCTACACCTTAATGTTGCTTGATATGTAGCCATAGGAGAATAAAGTCCTCTTAAGTTTCGAACAGATGTACGAACCAGCATCCTGTTGAGTCATGCAGTATTTTCGGACTTATAGCTACTCTATTGCTCTCACGAGCTTTGACTCATAAATCATCTCTAGACGTATGTAAACAATGTGGTTCCTCAATGGGTTATCCATACTGTAGCCATGTAGCAAATTCTCGTAGATTATGGTTCCTCTATAACAGCTGATGATGTCTCGATGACTAGAGTTGAAGATTTGACGCTACTATACAACATATTTTGGCTTATAGATTTGAAAGTCTAGTCAGTTTTCTATATAATATTCGTCTATTTCAATCTACACGAGATCAAATTTTGTAAAATACTAAAATACCGAAAAATCAGTTGAATGTATCAAATCTAGCATAGCTATAAATGAGATTCATAGGATGGGTTACTAAAACTCAGACCTTTCGCATTATCGGTCAGAATTCTTTTTATTTGACCGCCACTTGCGGTGATATGATGTTACAGCATACCCAATAATGTGGAGTGCTGTGCAAAACGTTTGCGTCAGCCGCGATTCGAACCCAGATCTCACTCTTTCCGTGAGCGTATGCTAACCGTTGCACTACGACGTTGCACCGAGCGTCGGTGGTGCAACTGTTAGCATACGCTTTCGGAAAGTGTGAGATCTGGGTGCGAATCCCGGTTGACGCAAACGTTTTTGCACAGCACTCCACATTACTGGGTTTCGCGTTATGTTCAAAATTTTTTATAATGGCACGGCAGCCGCAAGTATCAATACACATTCGAGACGCCATCGTGTTCAACTCGATGAAGACCGGCTTCCGAATTGTTCCCCACTTTGTTCAGGGTTGGTTCCAAAGTTTTCTGAAGTAAATGAGTGCATCGATGATGAGGACATTCGGAGACTACTCGTTGATATAACGACCTATGTGCTCCCTTCAGTCCAAGTCGGAAAGTGAAAAGACATTGGAAGTCTTGATGCCGGATAAATTGTTCATAAAGCGAATAAGCGTTTTTAACGAACAATGTCCTGCTCTTCTTTTTTCCAGTCAAAGTTCTTTACAACAACCAACATTCCTTCGAGCAGTGATGCATGACGATGAGGCACCCAAACACACCTGGGGACCAGAATTACCTTAGAATCAGATGTGACATTCAGTGGCCACTTTATGGAAGATCTTTATTCAAAAAGCATTAGGAAATATCCTTCATATCTGGCAGGTCAAGTAATAATTACAGAGGAGAAACGCGTGAAAATCAACAGAATTCGAAAAGAGCTGCCGTGTATTCTTTATGAGTTGCAATTATCAACAACATTTAAAGTTCAACATTGGGAAAGGACATTGCTTTTCTGAATACCCATTATTTTCGAGGATTGAGATAATCACTTACTCATATTCAAAAGATTGATCAGACTCATTTTGTGTACATTCTCCGTTTCCATGTGATTACTCAAGCCTTCCCGTATTTACAGTCAGAAGCAAGACCTTTATCTAAATATGACGTTCTTTTTTCTTATCGTGCACACAGAATTGTCATAACGATTTTATTGTTGTACGATTACAAGATCGATTATGGTGCTTATTATTAGGTGCTACCAAAGATTGTTTCGATTTTCATTCTTTTCCAATTGCGACCTTCTTATTTATCTGTGTCTTAAATTTTCTAACCATTAGTCTTCTAGACTAAAATGAAACATTTGAATAGTTGAATGGTCCGTCTGGGCAAATATTATCAACTCGCAGGGGTTGCAGCACAATTTCTTTTTAACCAATAATTTTCTATTTCAGCAAGATTCCTCTTACTGGAGTCTCAAAAGCAATATTCGAAACCTTCCTAGTGTGATATTAACATCCGCTGTATTATACATCGCACTTCAATGCCCAGGATCATGAACTCCTGAGATCTGTTCATTTAAGTGCACGCAAATACTTGAGTTCATGTGTTCTGATATATAATGTAAAGCGTTTGGTGTTTATTAGCCTCCTGAGAACATCTCAGGATCAATCAAACATTTATAGATGACTATGGATTCAGCCTAGATAATTGTTTACAAGCACTTATAAATCTTTTGAATCATTGCTTTTTATCCTCCTTTATAACTTAGATACCAATTTTCCGATACTGGAAGAATAGATCGCTTGGTTTGCCGCGCAGTTCGCGATCGAACGCATACAAAGTGCATAGTGCAGCGCCCATTTGACCTTTGTGCCGAACCACACTTCCTCTTTAGATGGACAGTATACAAGTGGAGAATGTGCATGATATGGCGAATAAAGTTCAAGGATTCTTCGGAGCTTATTTAGGCTGCGCGAATGCAGTAAAATATGTACGACCGATCATCGTCACTGAGTGCCTTCTTCTTAGGAGCCGACTTTTTTCCTTCTCATCTACCATATGAAATGCTATAATTTTACGAAGACGCATGTATATGATCACATCAAGTTTTATTGCATTTAAATTCAACGGAAGCATAAGTATTGATATCAGCTGAATCGTAATTTTAAGGAATATACGTAACTAAGAAGTAGAGTTTCGACAATTTCTTCGTCAAATGCAAGGATTCTGATGAACGCAGCTGTTCAAGATTCTGGCATATATGTAGCTCACGTCACATACATAGTTATCCTAATCCTAAAAGTTTATGTTACACTTAGGAATGCGTTGCATAAGCTGAAGATGTCCGTTGCCTACATAATACTAGAAAAGATGTTCGTGTTTGGGATGTAGTAAAAGGTGCAACATCAAAGTAACTCAAAGCTTTGGGCTACCCTAGAGAAAGAGCAGTCTGGGTTTTGCCCTGCTCAAGCAGCTGTGTTACGTACATTTATCTTAATCTCGAAGACTATTTCTTACCTATTTGATCACATCATCTGCTAGAATAGTGGGGTGGTTATGTGCGGCAAAGAAACCTCATTGAAATGATTCATTACTTCGGTAACCGGTATTGAATACTTCATCATGTGAATTCTTTTAGGTCTAAAAATTATCGAGATAGGTGGTCCTCGTATATTCGTAAAAATGAGCAAATATAAAAAAAATCTTGAGAACGCATAAAATATAGCTAGGATCTCTCGTAACATCGCATGCATGTTTAGCTCTGGTTTGTTCTTGGGCCGTGTTATTTTAACAAAGCGAGTTTTTGTAGCCACGCGCCGTACATTTGAGCCTAGAATGCTGATTGTATTTCATCCCGGTGTACAGACTCACCTCTCTCATCAACTTGTGAGGACGTGTGCAGCTCAATGACTAGAGGTGACTTTCAGTTCACGCCGGACCGGTCCGTGCTTCGAACTTTCGTCCTGGGCGCACCAACTCTTCCATAGCTCTGTGGTCGACAAACTCCTACTGTATGTGCCGAGGACCAAAACAGCACTGATTCGATATTCCGATAGGTTGCTGTGAAACACAATATAGATCTCAAATGAACTGTATGATGCTTGATGAAGTAGAATGCATTGCTCATCCCTCAGGAATCTACACTGCCATCAAATTTGTCCCTAATCTTTCTAGTACTTATTGCTCAATCGATCTGCAAGCGAAAAAGCTTCATCATGACTCACAGTCCCAATGTGTGGCAAGCAATTGGCGACGAGTTTAAACGAACAATTCTACTCCAACATTAGAAATAATAGCGGTTTTCCGCGAGGATATACGGAGCAAGAAGCGACCACTTACTCATCGCTGCCTTCTATGACATTTCGCGTCATCGCGATTGAGTAGTTCGCTGCTGTGTACCACATCCCATTTATGGAACACTCGACTGGAGTGTGAATTCGACATTTACAGAGCTTTTGAAGTTTGGACCAAACCTACGAAGAGAGTTATTCAGTTCCAAGAAAAGAGCTTGGTCAGAGAGACTTTCGCTCAACACGGCTGAAACACGCGTCTCAAAGGAAGCGTGACAAGCTTTCCGTACTTTGAATGAGCAGAGCAGACCGTACAGTTCTTATTGTTCGAGAGAGCGTTTGAGTGGTGCATGTTGACTCACCAGATAATGACAAGACTACAGATGACACAGAAAGATGTTGATGAATCAAACGTTATGAAGGACGAATTTTGGCCGCTTGGCGCTTTGTATTCCCAAAAACTATGCTGGGAGCACTCTAGCATTAGGACCATCCAACTGTGCATATTATGCTAAAAAAAACGAATATCACGATAGAAGAGCTGATGTTATCGAGGTTCTCCTTATTTGAAAGGTAAATGGAGACTTCAAAGTTTCTCGTTCATCACAAAAAAGCCAAATGTCATTGGCTACAACTGGTTTAAACGCAGAGCTCCTTTTTACAAATATTATTTCTATGGTTGACAAAAGTTAAGACGGTAGAAGTAGGATTTGCCTTTCAAATCATCAACGACACGCCGTCAAAACGTTTAGGCACATGTCATCCATCTCATCATTTCTTACAAGAAATTCATCTGGGTATCTGAGCGTGCTCTGTTCTTTCGGACTGAATAGTATACGATGTGCTGTCCAGGATACCATTAATGTGGCAGAGTAGTGAGATCGTAGGAGGTGAATTAGATCACGTTTTCAAATTTTCATATAGCTAACGCAAAGCTTCAGGCTATCTAAGATTTCCAGCCAAATTGCCTTTGACATCGTATTTTTTCCACCTGTGGCGTGAAGAACATAGTAAGAAGAACAACAACGATGATCCACCAATGCAAGAAAAAATCTATGGAATGCAAGAAACGTTTAACTCTTTGGTGAGTGTGGCAATGAATTCCTGCGCCTGCAATGCGGTAATTATGCCACTTCAAACTACCTTTTGAACCGCTTAAGCTCTTTAAAGCTTTCTGCCCATTTTGTGATCAGAAAAGACTATCGCAAAAAAGTCATTCCCTTGAATATTCAGTGTTTACCGACTATTAAGTGGTATTAATTTCAAAACAATGGCCAATAACACTGTGATTTTGTTGGTCGCCAAAAGGTTAAAAAATCTGAAAGTAAAAAAGCAGTGTCGACTGTATGACGCAAAGTCCAATTCGTACTTCAAGATTTACTAGTTTTTAAATAGTGCCTGATTGCAGAGCTAGAAATCGTTTTTATATTTTATAAGTATTTCATTGCACGGGCCTTCTGGCTTGTATATCTGGCGCAGGATCATAACAAAAGTGATTGATTTATGAATACGCCTTCTCGACGAACCTCTCCCTCTTAACTCTTCTGTTCAGTCGTCATCAATCCATCTCACTCTCTGTCTGTCTCTCCATCTATCTGTCTGTGCAAACCTTTGTCATGCATAAATTTTCTGCTCTGTAAAGCTAATGCCGACCTCCTACGGTTATTACACTAACCACTAAATCATACTTTATAGGATGAAATCCGAACCACTCCCGTCAGGTCTAGTTGTTTGTAGACTGAATATATTTCACCTTATTATTGCCAGTTCTCATAAGAAAAGCAAGATTGCTTTATGGACTGAATCATAAATTTAAAAACTTATGTGTATACTGCGAGAGCTCCGTTTCTGACACATGAAGAACAATCCTTTGTCAATTGCTGATAATTTCTCGGTTAATTAGAGTAGTTAAGTGGGTGTGAACGTAAGTTTTGTACATGGGAAGCCGTTTTCTTTCTACCGAACATGGTTCACATCTGATGGTATTATTAGAATGGCTATTAAGTGGATAATGTAGTTATGGCTTCAGTTTGCCATTATAGTGTTGCTACAACTCCGACC